GGTGCATGCACCAGGCAGACAATGACTGTAGGGTTTCTCCCCCCTCCCCACCCCCTGCCTTTTATCTATGTGCTTTGACATTTTCTCTCTATCACTGACCCTTTTGCTGTTCTTGCTGTTATCTCAAATAATGTCACTGCCTCTTTAGAATCTATTCATCAGAGCAGAAAGAAGCTGCTGCTGACACCGACAAAAAAATTACCATCTGTGCCTTGCAGGGGAAGGAAAGCGCCCGCACGAACCACACCACTGCCGTTTACACAGGGGAGCCAAGCACTAATTAAATTCCTAGCAGGGTTAGAGGCGCAGGACCTGCATGGAAAGAGGACACCACCTTACACTGGGGAAGACAAACTGGGAACGCCAGCAAGAGACACTCGCGAGGTCCAGCTGGCACTTTCTTCTCAGACTAACATGAAATCTTCAACTCCTGGTCAGGTATCAGCCGCCCCGCGCCTTGAAAGCGCTCCCCGCCAGGAACAGCAGCTTGGGAAACACCCCCCCCAAGGAGAGTAACCTCTCGCTGATCCCACAGAGGAGAGCAGAGTTAGCATGGAACACAGTCCGGCACCCTGCACAACCGGGGAAGCATTCCTGCCCAGCCCATGCCACTGCATGGCCTGAAGCCTGAGATCCCCCTGGAACTTTGTCACCTCACCCGTAGCTGCAAGGCAGAGCTCTGACCCTTCTCGTGAATGGGACATGGAGACTGGTGGCAGCTGGCTAGCCACAGGCAAGTAGGAGAATATTCTCTTGAAAAGAAAGGAGCCCATCTTTAACCCCTGCCTGCAACTTCACTGCCAGGACTCTGACTGGCAGCATGCACAAGGCGCCAGTCCAGATACAGGGCACACGCTTTGGTGGCAGGAGACCCGGGCTCTTGTCCCAGCTCTGTCTGACTCCCTGCCCAAATCACTTAGCCCATTGCAGCCAGTGGGAACCCTTCCATTAAGTGCAATGGGCTTTGGATCAGGGCCTTTAGTTCCATGCCTCAGTGTCCCCATCTCTGTAAGCGGGGGCTGATGCAGCTTCCTCACTGTAGTTGGGTTTGTCAAAATCTAGTGCCAGAAGGCACCCCGTGAAGCGCTAAGGAATACCCACCGGGGTTGAATCAAAGCCCCTCTCACAGCAGCAGTACTTGCTTTTGAAGCTGTAAAAGATTTCCTACCCAAGTGAAAGTCAAGAGAGGTAGACAGCAGATTTGTTAGGAGTGAGAACAGAAGGCAGGTATTTTATTCCATGCATGCCTTTAGCTACAAGGTCATCCCTTAAGGTTTCTGGCCAGCCAGCTCGATCTACCAGACATTTAATAACATTTTCCCTGCAGGCAGAACGATAGTGAACAATGATTTACAAAAGGGAGAGTCTGAGATTCAAAGTCTCTGCAGTCACTTTTTAAAAAGTTCCCCCTTCCTGAGGATTTATGATGCATTTCAGCTGTCTTTGCCCACTCACTCCCCTCCCACAGCTGCATGGCATCACTCCATGAGCTCTGGATCCATCCCATCAGCAAGACAGAGCATTAAATATCGAAGAAGTTTCCTGAAGCAAGGGGGTTTTTTTTTAAAGAAAGGTTTGACAAAGTGTCTTATTTTATGCTGATATTAGATTGAAAAGCATCCTTTTGGCTAAAACAGTAAAAGTAGATAATATGCACAGCACCCGTCAGGAAATACAGCTACATCTCAACACATTTGATCCACTTAGAGGAAAAAACCCTTGGTATAGTTTATATTAATGAAATCCCTGCAGAGTTTGGATGCAACGTTTCTTTAGGAGTCTCAGCCCTTTTTGCTAAAGCATTTTGCTAGTAAGAACTTATTTACATTACGTTAGTGCCTGCAACTCCCAACCAAGATCCAGGCCCCAGGGTGGTAGGCACTTTACAGACAATGCTTGCTCTGAAGATCTTATTTGCCCTGCAGATCCTAGACAGATAGCAGCAGCAGCAAGAGGAGAAACAGGGAGGTGGAGAGTCACATAGCAAGTCCAATAGCAGAGGTAGGATTGGTTTCAGAGTAGCAGCCGTGTTAGTCTGTATTCGCAAAAAGAAAAGGAGTACTTGTGGCACCTTAGAGACTAACCAATTTATTTGAGCTCATGCTCAAAGCTCATGCTCAAATAAATTGGTTAGTCCCTAAGGTGCCACAAGTCCTCCTTTTCTTAGAGATAGGATTAGAACCCAAATCTCACAACCCAGCCTCCTAGTCACCAGACCACCATGCGGCCCCAGACAGATGCCGAACAAACAGCCAAGCCAAAAGCTACCCAAGCAAGAAGCGATTTGAAAGATTGTTACATGTTCTTTTCCTCTGCAACAGGATGGAGTGTAGACTCCAACCTTTCCTCTCTGCTCTGGCTATTAAGAGGCCAAGCTGGGATCGTTAGTCTTTTTGCAAAGCTCCTAATGTGAAAAATGAAGCTCAAGAAAAATTAGCCAAATTACCACGCTAATCCTTCAGCGGAAATCATTGCTCCATTACACATCTGTAAAATGAGCCTATAAAAAGGGAAAGACGTGGCAAAAAAATAAGTAAATATATGAAGTGGTTACTCTTTTGCTGGGGAGATCTGCTGCAAGGTAAGGCAGAGAGGATGGGGCAATGGGAGGGAAAAAACACACTTGCAAAATGTAATTTCAGGTTTCAGAGAAACAGCCGTGTTAGTCTGTATTCGCAAAAAGAAAAGGAGTACTTGTGGCACCTTAGAGACTAACCAATAAGGTGCCACAAGTACTCCTTTTCTTTTTGAAAATGTAATTTGCGCTTCAAAAGCTCTAAGTGTTAAACTGCAGGGGGCAGCTGTTTAAATGCTGCCTTGTTCTGAGCCTCTTACCTGTCCGCTTGACAACAGTGAGCCAATGTCAGCAGGAACTTTTAAGCAGGTGTGTAAGACAGCTGTAAGAGATCCATGGAGGCAGTGCTGGCTTGTGGCTAGGGCAGTGGAGCAAAACTTCTGGGTTTTATGCCTGCCTCTTGCTAATCCAAGTCAGCACCACTCACTTTATCCTCCCTCTGACTCAGTTTACTCCTCAATGTAATTGGTGGGGTGTATAATTAATTAATTGGGTGAGACCCAGTGTAAATGTAACTGCAATTGAAAAGATTTATCCACCCTATTTGGACAGAACATTTGTGAAAAGCAAGCAGAAAACCGCCTCCAACGTCAATCATGCTATTTGTTGTGGGTTCTGGTGATTAAACCATGGGGGGGGAGGGTGGAGAAGATAGATAGATAGAACACAGCACGTGCGGCCGGTTGTTAAATCCATGCTTACTTCTAATAAATTGGGACTGGCTCCAGCTGCTGACTTATGCAATTATGGCCCCGCTGTTGGCACAGCTAACTCACTGCCCTGCTTCCAGGCACGATTTGCCCGTCAAATCAAACAGGCTGAGAGGCATAAGCAAATTTGATCTCTTTGTTAACAGTTTCTAAGGGGACCTATCAGAGCTTGACGGAGAAGCTGTACTGTAGAGCAAGACCCCAGTCTCTTCTATGCCAAAGGTGCCTCCCAGCCACTGTCCAAGGCCCCGACCTTCGAACACAGGCCAGATGGAAGCACAGGCTCACGGCATTGCAGAAGAGTGGGTCTCCACTGCCCCCTTGTGGTCAGCAACAGAAAAGCGTTCAAGCAATTGATGGCTGTAAAGGGCACAATGCTTTTTAACACACGGAGAGGCTGTCTGCTCCCATCCTGAAGGTTGAGAGCACAGTAGCCATCGTCAGCATTGATCATTCCGTAGTAAGCGATCAGCTCCTAGGCGCTGTGGTAATATAAATAATTCTAGAAATTCTTCCGTCATTCCAGGGACCATTTTCCTTTCCCTAAAAGAGAAGGCACCAAAGAGCTGGATACTGGATCAAAAAAAAAAAAAATCAATTTAGAAGACTGTTCCCCATTTGGCCACCTTGGGTGATGGTTTCCAATGCTACCTCACACAAAGAGGCGGCAGCTGCTCTTGGGGAGGAGGATGTGGCTCCTGGGGGAGATATCTGCCCTTGCAAATGTTAATACCATAGCACAAACCTGCACTCTGCTGACATACAAGCACAGTTCAAGTCACTTACACTTCACGGCTGTAGCCAATCAGGTCCTTTGTCACTTGAACATCTTAATCTCACCAACCGACAATCAGAAGCAACACAGGCCCAGTTAAAGACAGGCTGAAAATCTGCTCACTGAGATGCCACAGGTCAGATGGATTCCTCCCGAGCAGGAGGGCTCTGTTTTGTCTGGGACTGAGTGCCACGGCGGAGTTGTTGTGCTAGGGTAACAAAGAGCCAGAGGATGAAATGGAGGTGTCACACTCACTGCTCTCATGTATTTAGTGAGGGAAAGGAGAGGGAAACTGAATGGTTAAGAAGAACAGGAATTAGAGGCTTCCATATCTAGGCTGCTGCTTTGAATATCTAGCTCAGGTTACCAGTAATTGAAGGTTACCATCAGATGGCTCTTTGGTGGCTAATATGGAGTCATGCTAAGATAACTGCATCAAAGACAGACCTCTCAACTGGCACTCGGGGATTGGGCATGGAAAGCCAAGATGGGCTCATGCCAAGAGGCAAGCCTCTCCAGGCATAGCACGGGCCGTTGGCATGGTGACTGCTCAGTGGCTGGAGAGATGACCACAGGCTCCAGCACTAGAAGCACATAAAAGAAAGGAAAAATCGGAACACACACATAGGAGCTGGGGGAAGACTCACAGAAGAGTGAGAATTAGGAGGAAGCTTACAACTGCCCTCTGCCTCTCAAGCCCTGGATTAGCTGCAAAAGGCCCATGCTATGCCAGCGAGACAAGTTTAAATGCAGAGACAGTTATGGAAGGAGTGGGGGGGGGTGCGCGCCGGCGCAAGGGGAGGAAGGTGATGGTGGAAAGGAACTGAATTCAAGGTTATTTTTTCACAACACTTAAAAAGAAATTGTATGATCAAATCATTTCTGCCTAGATGCAAGATGGATCCATACCTCCATGAGCACATAAGAGGCAAGATAGATATACTTGGAAAGATTAGATTTTATTGATAAATGTCAGTTTCATTCTATACACACAAATTGACAAAAACATTTCCATTGATAATCAAAATTTACAGATGGCAGAGTAAGAAAAGTGCTACTTGAGAGTTTAATTTAAGGATATTTACTTTGTATATTTGGACACGTGATGTTGACGATTTGTGTTTTAACAGTTATACACAGCTTTAACTTTTTGAATCTCAGCTTCTATCATAACCAAATAATTACCTGACCCCCTGCATAATTTTCTGCAACTGTGAAAATAATTAAAAAAGAGAAGTCGAAAAAATGCTTTAAAAAACAAACATACATCCATCAGTGTCAGGTGCCAAAATTATCAAAAACTGAAAAAAAAATTTTCTGCCAAGCCTAATAGGACAGGTCACATACCCTGGTTCCAGGAGAACAGAGATTTTCTTGGGGTGGATACACATTGTTTGATTACATATTAGGACATTCAGCAAAGCTGTTACATATAAAAGATATCCCAGAAGTCTAAGGGCTTGTCTACACGAGGACTTTTACTAGTCTCCATCTGTATAATTATGCCACTGTAGTTATACCATTATGGCTCCCCATGTGGAGGCGTACCTAGAATATTTTGCTAGTACATTTCCCCGTGTAGACAGGCCCTAAAACAAGTTTGTGGGTCCATCCAGCTCACGCTGCATTGAAGAAACAGACTGTCTTGTGAAACAGCATCTGGAACCCTTGAAAAAGCAAGAAAACCCACAGTAGGAGATGCTAAAGGCAGCACCATTTGCACTGCATAACAATTTGTAAAGTCCCCCCCTTCTTCCCCCAGCCATTGGCAGCTCTTTAACCCATTGTGCTAAAACAGTTGAAAGCAACCTAGACTTTTTGTCCTCCCCACAGGGACGTGCTGCTGGGAATGCTTAACCAGGGCATTAAGGGAAAGGAGCTTTTTCAACAGTGCCAATTGCCAGTGCTGAACTACAATTGTGAATGGCATCCACACAGCTCTTATCTAGCCAGGGCTCAATATAGAAGCAATGGGAGGAGGGTGCTAATTCTTGTATGCATGCTGCAATCTACATTTAACACAGTCAAGTGTCAATTTGTTGATTAAGACACTATCTACATGACAGAAGTGTCTGGTATGGAAGTTGAGGGGTGAAGGACAACAGCCCATTCCAAAACTGGAGGCTACCAAACAAGTAATGGAAGAGATACTGACTCTGCACTGGAGAAGTAGATCACTTGACTAGAGTTAGCATCAATTAAGAAACTGCAAAAATATTGTGGAAATTGATTTACTTTATGGGTCAAGCTCCTCTGGCACCCCACTCCAATAAGTGGCATTAAGGAAGGATGACTAGTAACAGATGAAGTGAGCTGTAGCTCACGAAAGCTCATGCTCAAATAAATTGGTTAGTCTCTAAGGTGCCACAAGTACTCCTTTTCTTTTTTGTAGTAACAGATATCCATTGACATAACCTTCTACATTCCCAGCCAAAGGAACGTGTCCTTAACATCCCGCATTTGGGACCAACGTTTATACTGTTTGAAAAACAAAAACCCAGGGATTCAAACAAATCTACTATGAATAGAAATACTGACTTGAGATTAAAATAAAGGAAAAGTGCTTTTGGCTTTAAACATCTTCCTGCAGATTTTGTGGTGTTATTAATGTGAGAACCAGACCGTGAGACTACAAACAGCAAGCCTGCTCAGACAATTGGCTATGGAGGCTAATGTAACGGCCTAGACAGAGAAGGGATGTGCTAATGGAAACTAAAAAATGGGGCAAAGTATTAGAATTTCACTTTCTTCATCTTTAATTATCTGAGATTCAGTTAGTGACACAGGTAAGAGACATTTAATTTTTTTAAATCTCAGCAGTGCCTCTAACAGCATTAGTAGAAATACCAGAGCAGTCTCATGCTTTGCATTCTGTGGTGCCTTTCACCAGAAACTCTCATAGATACTCTGTGCACACTAACTACTCCAGCCTCACCGTGGCCTCAAGAGGCAGGCGAAGCGAAGCGGATACCCCACTATGCATGGAAGGGAGGTAAAACACATAATTGCTCAAGCCGGAAGTTGGCCAGGACACCAGGGTTAACGCCCTTCCCTCTTGTGCCCGCTGTTAACATTGTAGTGTTTATACTATAAGTAAATTCAAGATCCAGCTTCAAGGTTGAGACACAGGGCCGGACTCACAGCTAGGGTAGGTGAGAGCAATAATTCCACTGTCTTCAGTGGAGCTGCCCAGTTAGTTACACCAGGTCTGAACTCGGTTCAGTGTCTCAGTTCACAACACTTCCACAGACATGGAAAAGGGGACAAGATATTTCAGACTGGCAACATAAGCTAAACTCTGTAGTGTGTTCGGCACCATGGGTGGCCACTCCGGTGAAGAGTTAAGAAGCTCTGAACTTGCAGGGGCAGGAAGGCAGGGTACAGTCAAAGTCCATGTCATCTTAAACCTCATTAAAGACGTGCAGAACTTCTGCTTTCAAAGAGGACAGCGAATGAAGACATATTCCAGGCGCCCCAATACTGGTCTCCCAGCATTCAAATCCACAGGCACTGAGATCTTGTCTGGCTGCTTCCACCATCAATGGGTCTGTGTCTGCCAGGAAGAAGGTTACACCAGCTAGTTAAGTTCAGCTTGGTCACCACTGGGAGATGGAAATGCCTTGCTGCATGTTTAATATGGACTAAATGGTATCGCCACGAAAAGGAATCAAACGTCCTAAGTTTGGGGTGGGGGCATATAGGGGTACATTTTATCTGTTCCTTCTTACATTAACGAGCAGCCAGTTTACCATTAGGTTTGACTTAAGTTTTCATTGGTAGGAGACATTAATGGGCACTTTAGAATCCAGTAGTCGCTAGTATGCCAAGTGTCTCAGGGTCCCACTATGATGGAGAGGTATTCTAAAGGTGCGGAGAGGTGTTATTTTCAGTCTATACATACATCCTTTTTGCCCTTTAAATAGGACATTCCCATTTAAAATTAGTAAGTAAACCAGTGCAAGTGTCCCTACCTAGATATTCTACCACAGTGGTTTTCAACCGTCTTTCATTTGTGGACCCCAAAACATTTTGAATGGAGATGTGGACCCCTTTGGAAGTCTTAGAGTCTGTGGACCCCCCCAGGGTCCGCGGACCACAGGTTGAAAACCACTATTCTACCACGTTCATGACCATGATAGATTTTACACAGTTATTACTATACATCACACTCAGATCTTTCTGCTCCAAAAGAAGAATCCCACCAAGTGAGCTAAAGGAAAATCTTAGAAGTACAGGGTCTATGTAACAGTTGGGCAGTTTTCATTCCAGCCAGTAGAGGGCAGAAGTACACACACGGTTCATGGACAGTCTCCAGGATATTGCACCGCTAGTCTATCCCTCACCTAACACACACAGCTGAAAGAGCCCAACAAACCTATTTCCCATACAGTTAAGATGCAGTGACACGTTTTTAGGGTATGACACCCAAGGGCACTTCAGCAGCACGGACACTGCTCAGTGATAGTAAAGGCCCCGCTCTGCCAGCCATCTACTCAGAGCTCCCACCAGTCTCAGTAAAGTGAAAATGACTCAACCAGTTCCACAAGCTCGGCTGGAGAAATGTAAAACAGTTCTATGAATAGCAAAGAACAAAATTAGGTTTTAATTTTTTTTTAATCGGTTTAAAAAATGTAGGTGCTGATGAGGCTGTTTTGTTTTGTTACGACAGTGCCCCTTTAGGTCTCTATGGCAACATAAAAGGAAGAGATTTAAATGATTAGTAGTAAAGTAAGGATTCCTGACCTGGTCTTAACAAAGTGATTGCGCAGCCACCTCCTCCAGCGCCAGTCAGCTTACTGTGCAGCCCATGCGTGGCGGTCACTCGGCACACGCTGTCCAGTGAGGGATGGCCAACTCCAATCACATTTAAGTGATGCTGGTTTATATCGAAGAGCTCCTTAAAACAAAGCAAAGACAACAAAACCACCTGGATTGCAGGTCCGGCCCTAGCGGGGGTGCAGCGCCCAGGGCAGAAGTGACGAATCCGACACTTCCAGGATCGGCCACACCGGGGGTGGGTGGGTGGGTAAGGGAGACTGTCTCCCCCCAGGCAGCCAGGCATGGCCCTACACACACACTCCGCCCCCCCCCCGGACCCCACTTTGGCAGCACCGCTGGTCTCCAGGGGGCTGGGGCCACGCAGCCCGCCTTCCGGGGGGGGGGGGGGGGGGGGGGGAGATGCTGCAGCAGTGTCACTGTGCGCTCCCCCTCGGGCGGAAGGGGCGGGGCTGGGGGTTAGCCTCCCCCAGCCAGCAGTTCACACACTGCCCACGTGGTGCCGGCCAATCGCGCCAGCCCACAGGGCCCCCCCCAAAGCATGTCACTCCGATTTGCTGTCCCCTAAGGACAGCTCTGGATCTCAATCCTCCAGAACACGTCTCTTTTCCAGCGAGAGAGGTCGCTATTCCAAGGCGCCTGCAAGCAGAGCTGTACTGTGTACAGTGACCTGTTAGGAAGTCACTGACAGACTGACCCATCTTACTGCAACACAGCATAAGGCTGCTCAGGAACAAGCAAATGCTGAACAATGAGACCGAGCCCACCAGAAGCCTCAGGCTTCTAGTCTAGCCCTGCTCCCTCTTTCTTCCCTCACTGACTACTGTGCGGGCACAGATCAGTTCATTTTATAACGTCTTAAAAAAAAAAAAAAAAAAAAGAGAGGCCAAAGGAAGCAGAGGGCACAGAGAGCTGCCATCACTGCAGGCACGGTGAACTTCAGCCCTCAGTAGTCTTGGCCTGCTTCCTCTCACTCCTGCTACGCATGCACCGAACAGGATGCTGTACAAATCCTTCCCTAGCTGTGGGAAAGGAATCGTGCTGGGATCTCTCCCATTCCTGGCCAATTCTGCAATCCATCCAACTCCAGTGACAGAAAGTGGCACTGCCAAGGCAGTGATAAACAACATCAAAATCTCACTTGTTTGTATCATAGCACTTCTCCCCACACTGCAGGGCAGAGATCCAGGACCCAGACCAAGGGGCTTCCCCCAGCATGAGGCAGGTACTCTAGATATTTGTTGGCCAATCCAAGTCACGCTCTTAAACGTTTCCTGAAGTCCTCCATTCTGGGATCATCTGTGGCTATGGAAGTACAAAGCAAGCCTTTTTCCAAAGCAGAGAGGATTTCTGCAGCGTTCAAAAGCCCAGCTAATGCCAGCAGCCAGAACCCTGAGGCTACTCTCTCACGCAGGTCTCCAGCGGGCCAGGATATTGCAATAGCTACAGGACTATTCATGTCCAAATCCTGCTGTTACTACAGTTAGTTGCTTGTGGCAGGGACGCATGAATGGCCCAGGAGATTGATAACAGGATACAGGGCCTTTCACCTCTAGTGAGCAGTTCAAATACAGCCCCTGGCAATCTGGGTCCAAAGTTATCACAATCCAACAACTGTTCAGCGTCCTTTAATATGAGTTGGAGAAACTAAGTCCACTCCCAGAGCACAGGTATCCAATATCACAAAACGAAGCATGAATGGCAGCTTCAGAGAGGTGAAGGACTGAATGGGCCATGGTGACTGAACGACTCAATTTCCCCCAGAGATGAGCTGGACACACTGGCTGGAGCACGTTGATGGGGGAAGCCTGCACTGCTCATAGCGCGCCTGCCTTGCAGGCACGGAACGTTACAGCACAGGGCTGACCTGGCAGCTAGCACAGAACTAACTAAACACGCGCACACCGACATTTAAAAATTACAAGAATAAAGTGAGGGGGTTTTTTTTATTTAAGAAAATGGAAGCTAAGAATTAAAGGAGTTAACTGGAAAGGAGCAGCTGGCTGAAATGCTGCCGTAGACAAGGCACAGACCATTACCAGCGGAGCACTGAAAAACAGGCTAATGAGACAAGAGTGGATGAGAGAGGAAATTTCTTAAAGCAGCACGAGAAGCCCACACACAGAATGTTAAGTGTGCATGAATGGGCACAAGTTATAATTAGCAGGTCAGGTCAGTGGGCAGCGACTGAGCAGCCTGAGCCAGAACAACAGTCCCAGACCCAGTTAAGCTCAACCCACCCATCACCTCCCCTTGCTAGTTCTAGCCAGTCACACTAGCCATTCTGGCTCTGAACTGGATCCACCTGCCACCTGAGACCACCACAGAAAGAATGATTTGTATTACGACCGTACGCAGAAGCCCCCACCAAGATCGGGCCCCACTGTACTAGATGCTGTACAAACACATTCTGGAAGAGACGGACCTTGCCCGGAAGACCTACAGTCTAAACAGGCAGACAAATGAGCGTGGGAGAGAGGAATGACCATCATTCCCATGTTACAGATGGGGAACTAAGGAACAGAGAGGTTAAGTGACCTGCCCATGGTCACACGGTGGCTCTGTGGCAGAGTCAGGAACTGAACCTAGAATTCCCTTAACCACAAGATTGTCCTTCCTTTCAAATACATCAGAACGGGGTGTGTTGGAAGTAAGAGTTTGCTAGCCACAAAATCCTGAAGCCTTAAGGTTTTACACAGAACGGGGCCATGATTCAGTGACATAATGTAGCAGAGAGGAGCAGCTGGCAGCCACAGGCCATGTTAACTAGGGACCAGCTGAAAAGCCAGCAGGCCAAGTACACTATGTTCTTTGAGAGATTTGCTCTCTTCCATACCCAGGGCCAGTCTCTTCACACAGTGCCATGACGAGTTTCTGCCATGCCTCCACCTGACTTTTGATAAGCACAGGCTGCAGTTAGTGGCTCACCTTCGGATGATGCTTTGACTACACAGAGCTAGGAGCTACAGGACAGCATGGAAGGTGTCAATCACCGTGGCTCCCTATTCAGCCCCGCATGGGTCTCCTGTAAACACCACATGGGTATTGGATGATGCAAAAATACTCCCCCGCCCCACACACACCAATTTGCAACGTACTTTAGATAAATGAGGGAAGATGGATTAGCCAGCACTGTTTAGCATGTATGCGCTGCAAGCTCCCTACACTGGATTGGACAGACATCCATCCAGGGGCCTCTATATGCCTGAGTGCAGGGCACAATGCTGTCTATGATGATCCAAGACACCTGTCATATTCCAATCCAAAATCTGCTAGGAGTCAGATGACAGCTTATGACACAGTAGACTAGTTCAATGGCTTAAGTACAAAGATGTCCAGAACTGCACATTTCAGCTACAGCAACAGTCAAAAATATAGATATGTATGTATGCAGCATACATCAACCATGCCTCTGTGGGCTCTTCAGACACAAGACAAACAGAAACCAACTTACTGCAGCATTCCTCCTCCTTGTAATTTAAACAGGACCTCTCTTATCTGGGGATATCAAAGCAGTCTTCAAGCTAAACCTCACAACCCTCCTTTCATTTGACTGCTGGACGGATGAAAGACCTAGGTGAATTGTCTCAGGTCACACTGCAAGTCAGTAGCAAACCCGGGAACAGACCCCAGAGTTCAGACTCAGTCTCCTGGTCTAACCATTACGTAGCACTCCACTACGTTACACAGAACACAGCTTTCATATGAAATCATTCTACCATCTTGGTGCAGTGGTAAAAGCAAAATCCTAATTTTGATACAGGCCCTTGGGAACTGGAGTGAGACCTATCAAACTCATCTCACATAGGACACCCACTAAAGCCATTTGCAGGTTTGACAGCACACAGCTCTCTCAGAAGATCTCTCTTTCCTAAGGAATGTACTCTATGAGACTATACAGCACTATAAGTGGCTCTGAATGGAGACTGGTAGCATAGCACAGGAGAGCCTCAGCATGAAAATGTGAGGGAGAAAATGCCAACCGTTATGCTCTGAATAAGCACTGTGTTGCATGACAACAGCGTGGCACAACTTTGCATCGAGATAGCCATCTCTCTCCTTGGACCTCACAGCGTTTACAGCCACTAATAATGGAAGTCTCGAAGCACCTCTGCGGGAAAGGGAACCTTAGCCCCATTTTATGGACAGGAGAACTGACACTGAGATGGAAAACTTAAGTGACCTGCTCAAATTCAAACAGGATTTGTGCGGCAGAGAACCCAGGAGTCCTGAAAACCAGTCCTGTGTGTTAGCACAAGGCTTCCACTCGTTCTCCATGGCCCTCAGTGCTCTTTCTGACCCAGACTTTGAGCCTGTCACAACTGTCACCGCCTTTGTTGTTCCTCAGCCATCTGCCAGGCTCACTTCCTGACACCATCTCTGTCTGGCCTTGCGATATCCCCATATCTTTCTCTTCCCCAGACATGACGGGTACATGCACTCATCTCCACCTGTTCACCACTGTTCCATCCACGGCAGCAAGGCCCTACTGCAAAGGGAGGCAGATTGCTCATTGTTCCACCGGAGGCTCCAGCCTTCACAACCGGATACAGCAAGAAACACAAGTGAGGGGCGATGGAAACAAAAGCTACGCTTTCAAACCTCTCCTGGTGAAAGCTGATTGTGAACTGACGTTGGGTAGAGCATCTGCATTCCCACCAGTAAAGGTGACTCCTTATTGCAATCGAGGAGGAAAGGTTTTGTGTGGGTGGGAAGAGAAAAACAGGACACCTCGCTATCTATCAACACCTCCAGGAATGGAAGAAGCAGCAGCCAGCTGTTCTTGCAATAAAGCAGGTCACTGCAATTTATGTCCCTTGTTGCTTGAATTCTGTCCCATCAACATCTCTGTTTCTGAGCACCCTAAGCATTCAGCATTTAGCACATGGGACTCCCCTGATCCCATACCAGATGTGGGTTCATCCACCTGCCCATAATAAAACATGTCCCAGCAGATGCAGTCGATGAATTAAGTTTTCCCAACACTAACTAATAATTACTTCATTATGATCAGAACACTGAGCACACTACCCCGTACATTTGCGTGGAGGGGAAAAAAAAAAGTCTTTAAATTTGAAAGTTGTTTCCACAACAGCCTCCCTGTGCTTTGAATGGAGCCAAAATGAACACAGATCTTATTCACTGCATGCATCAACGTCAAAACAGTTCTGGGCACAACAATTGCTATCTGCTCTCCTGAGCCTGGAGACAGGACAAGCACAAAGCGGGGGCTGGTTTCTAACTAGTCTATCAGAAACGGCGGCTGCTGAGTTTTGTGCTTCCATATTGGCTTTGGCAGTAATGAGAATGGTAGTTTTATAAAGAGCTACTGGCCATCAAATCACAAACTATTCTAAGGAAGGGGACATTTTGATTCTGAACTAACTCGGTGTCCCTTCAATGAAGGGAAATGAAATGTACGGCTCTGACAGAATAATAAAAGCAAACAAGTTTTATACACAGGAGGTAGCAACAGTACCTTAACTGCTTCAGACATAGGGAGCGTATTAATGACAGCGGACGTACGTTGTGGTTCACTCTGAACTGAACATTTCCTGCTATCGAAATCTCTCCCAACCTTAACTATCTTTAAACGATGTTTTGATGTGCGACTATAACAGTGTCTAAAAATACAGGCGAAAGAGTCCCTTACCTCTAGCACAGGGTAATAATCCTGTGATGGACTCACAGCCATTGCTTCTAGAACACTTTCACACTCGTGAGAAATTGCATCTATTGAGACAAGCACTGGGTTCATTATAGCAGGAAACTGTGACAAGAAGAAAAATGAGAGACATGAAGACAGCTCTGTGGTGTTCCGTGGCTTCATTGCTATTGTGCTGGAGGTGGGCCAAGCCCTCTGAGGCTGGACAATTCATGTGCAATAAGGGATCGCAGAAGCTGGTCACATTTGGGGCATCAGAGCAAAAGAAGAGAGAAACACGGTTAAGTCGGGTATTTCAGGGTTGCAAACTCTTGTGATTTTGTTGAGAGACTAATGATGTTTGGCATTTTTCTTAAAGCCCCAAGCTCCTAGAGTTAGGGATTTTTTTTTTTTTTTTTTTTTTAAATGAAAAACAGATATTTTCACCACAAAAGCTTCTAGCCCTCTGGTTGCAGAGACAAGCCTGGAAACAAAACTTGAAAGGTTCTAAAATTCAGAAGGCAAATTATAAAAGAAAAAAATAGCCTTTTAAAAATCTCATGAGTTTTAATGAGACTCTTGATTCTTTGGAGCCAGACATGATTTTTTAAATGCTTGGGGTTCACCAAGCTGCTTGTCACTGCAACAACAGGAAGGGTCATGGCCAGGTCCTCATTTTAGTTAAAAAAAGGGAAGTCCTGGCACAGAGTTTGGATTAATAGCTGCTCATCATGGGGAATGATGAGAAATAAATCCTTTATATCAGAATTGCATAGTAGCCGAGACTCCACGCCACTGATCATAGAAAGCCAGATAATAGGGACAACTTCTGGAGGAGTCCTGTTAAGCTGACTTGGCTGGAGTGACATAGAAACTCTACAGTCAGTGTCATATCCAACGCATCACCTTAGTGAGTATATTTTGACCTACTCCTTTTTGGGGGTGGGAGGGGGAAGCCCTTTCTCTTCCCCCTGTTCATGCCGCAGTAATGCCAGGAGCAACATAGCAATACCACTTAACAACAGCTTCCAAGAAATCCATGCAAATGCACACCCTGCTACCCCCCATGGAAGGGATCCTGGGATTACTCATAAGTGCAGGTCAACTCTCCCCACCCCCTAACAATCAATGTACTGCCGTGCTACCATTGGGTTGGCTCAATTAATAGATGCGCTTCCATGTCACGGTCATCAACCAAAAAGATGCTGCACCTTAAGGATCTTGTCTTTGACACCTGCCACAAGGATCTTGGTGCTCCGAGAGACTTTTGTGTTGGTCAATAAGATCATTAGAGTTGGCACTCTGAAAACAGAACAAACATTCTGAAATTCATTTTCCTCTTGATAACTGGGCAATGTCCAAGGTTTATTCCACATCCATCAACAAATTTACTCCCCCGTTCATGCCATGGTCAAACAACCTTAATGCATGTAATATCTACACGTACAGGCAGGACCCAATGTATTCCACTATTCCAGAGCCACAAACTCTGCTACATAATTAGGCTCTAGAATCTCCACCTTTTTAAAAAGTGCCTACCTCTTGGGATCATGAAAATAAACTTGAAAATGTGAGGCTAATGTAAACTGATGCAGTGACATCTTCCTGTGTTTTGAGAGCTTTGAGAGCTGTGAACTGCCATTTTGATTTGTCTGCTCTGAAGTCTAATGGTGTCCGTTTTATTATCAACATGGTTAATTGTTTCACTGCTGATCATTTTAGCAGAAACAAAGTTAATTTGCTTCTCACCATTTGTCCCTTTGCGCCCAAAAAATACAAAGACTACTGTACTTAACTGGATTTAAATATTTAAAAATGTATAATCAATAAAACCCTCCATTTTAAAAAAACGTATCTGAAGGTGGTGCCAGGTTTTTACCACAGCACTCTAGACTCCTCTTGTTTAGGTCCATCTCACCTACAGACTGCTCTAACCTAGTCTGGAATGAAGATGAGCAGAGAAACAAGGAGCCAAAACATGAGAGCTTCCCTTCTCTGCTGCATCAAGATGATCTCGGTCAAAGTAGACAGTCTGGTTGTTGGACTATCACCCCTCTAGAACAGGCTGGCTATTTAAGACCATAATCTAACAACATACTTAAGCACGAGAAGTCCTGTTAATGTCAGTAAGCAGGTGCTCAAGTGCTTTGCTGGGTTGGGACTCTGTGCTCTCAGTTACATGTACATTGATACAACTGTTCTGGTTCTACAAATATGACAAACGTGCTTACTGAGATCCATGTTTTTCAGCTAAAATATCTTTCCTTTGAAACACCATTCGTGAGACCAGCCAGCCGGAGACATTAACTGCTAACAGAGCAATTTCATGCACCGTGAAAGATTTTAATGGCATTGGATTATAGTTCATTGGTTGGAGGTATAGAGAGCATTCTGAACCAGGATTTGTTCTCGCTTTACAGCTTGGTTTTTGTACAGTTCTAAAATTCAATATGCAAGAAATTGTGGTTTTGTTTTGTTCTTTTAAAAGGTCATTTGCTGCTAGGAGCTGACTTGATCCTGCTGCCTATAAGGCCATGAAATTAATATTGAACTTTTGCCTTATAATCTAACTTCAGACAATAACCAGACATTTCATTGGCCTCATTCTTCTCCAACCCAAGACAACAAAACTGGTTTTCAAGATATTAAAGCTACCCGATAGGTCCAATACAGGGTTCTGGCTGCAAGATTCCTACTCACACTGTTCAGCATTATTTTGTTACTCTCATACCTTTAGACCATAAACTCTACACAGATATGTTCTGTGTGTGTATATAATTTTAATATTACCTCTTCAGTGATGTGATTTTTCCTGACTGAAATCTGAGTACTCCACCTAAAGTAAAATACATACATAGTCATAGTATGCAACACATCTGAAAATAATAAGTATATAGGGACTTTCATCTGCAGAAACTAACCTACAGCATGAGAAGTTAATTGCAAGAAGCACAGGCAAAACAATGGGCTAGATCCTCAGGTGGTGTGAACAGGCAGAGCTCCATTAACTTCAGAGGGAGATCTGGCCCAAAAATGAGTAACTTGGTGCCTTCACCCTTTGCTTTCCTGTACTGAGGGCCATAGAAAATAAAGAGATATTTCAAATGGAGAGAGTTAGGTTAGAATCAAGTCTTCATTGGTCTAAAATAACAAAGTAAGAATCAAATGAAGACTTCTGGAGTAGATTTAAACACATTAAACACCAGATTCAGCGCAGAGTGTGAATATTTGTGAAGAATAACTGTTAGTAACCCAACAGAACCCCACCAGTCAGCAAGCTTGCTACTTCATTATCCACTTCCCAATGTTTTGACAGAGTAGCTGTGATGAAGTCTGATTATTAATAAACACTCTCGCAAAAAGCATCACAGCACACTTGCACATAATAAAGACTAAGGTACAGGCGACCAAGTATGAACGTTTTCCAAAGCATTATACTGCAGCAAGATTTTTTTTTTTAATTTATATTTATTTGCTCCATAATTTGTAAATTCCAGTTATTTCCATGAGGGCTCCTCTTCCAAGGCATTAATGTGAACGAGGGAGATTCATATAGTGAGTCAGAGATTAGTGAATTAAGCCTCCCAACACCCCTGTGAGGCATTACTCCTATTTTACAAATAGGGAATAGGGAAACAAATAGGGAAACAGAGGCACAGAAAGAAAGCATGACTTCAAGGTCAAAGCTAGAATCAGAACTTGGGAGTTTCTGGTTCCTTCCCCCCACTCCATCCAGTTCAACAGACCATTCTCTCTCCCTCCTGAGGAGGCGAAAAGTATTACTAACATTGCTAATGTACGAGAGGTTTATTCTGGGGTAACGTTACCTTCATTCTATGCCATCAATAAGCAGCGAGTTTCTACTAGAGCAGGCTGGCAACAACACAGAGGAAAACTACAGAAGAGGATTTGGTACTAAAATGGTGTAGGGAAGAGGCTTTACTTGTGCTCTTCCCTTTCTAATCCAGTGTCTGCCGAGAGGACAGAGACTGGGGTTGAACAGTCAGTCTGCAGGATGGATTTTGGACACATTTTTATATAGTCAAAACTCCCTGCATAAAGGGCTGTGAGCGATTTGAGAGGCATACTGAAAGCCCACTTAGATTCACTGCAGTCTGCAAGGCCCTTTGGATTCTTTGGTGAAGTGCTACTTAGGAATTGTACCCAGGGCAAATCCCATCCGATCTCCCTGCACCAGCTATGCAGCAGTGTGCGAAGGGGACTGGAAAAGCCATCATTCCCAATGCCCAAGTAGTGGCCTCTTCTACTCTGACAGTGACAGCACCTGTATTCAGAGCCAAAGAGGAATGGATTGAGACTGAAAAATACATACCCCAAGTTGCTACAGAGTTATCCACACCAGAAGGCTTGCCATGGATGACCTGCTCTCCCCGAAAGGCCCATCTGTTAATTAAATCCAACTCCTCCTCAGGCCACCTAAAAGGCAAGAAAACAGTTTAAAACTACTACAAGCGGGCAACATGCCACAGGAACCAAGGAGTCCACTAGCCATAAAGAGCAGCAGGAATCACATGAGCAGACTGAAGCGCAGCATGTCAAGGGGGACACCTCGCGGGGGAGGGGAAATGAACCCCCACACAAATTAACAGGATGAAGTAGTGCTCGGCCCAGTAAAAGCAGCACTGCCATCCAAGATACTATCACCTTCGTATCTAAGCCACACACTTAAGCGCATCTGCTTCTAACAATCACAGGATGGAATCAGTATGAACGCAGCAACCGCTACAGAGCATTGCCACCTTGAAAGCATCACGTGAGGAAATGTTCTGGAAGGTTCCAAGCAGAGCTGTGTGCGTCACTGCTGAGTCTGACTAAATGTCCACCCAAAAAAGGCAGTGTAGCAGTGCAAGCAAAGGGCTGGATCCCTGGAACACCTGGATCTGACAGACTCCTTCTGTGGTCTTGAACGTAACATTGGACTCTTGGCTTCTGGGTCTCTATCAGTAAGAATGGGGATAATACTTCCTTTCCTCACTGATACTGTAATTAGATGTTTAATATGCTTCTTTGCCAGTAGGCATACACGCAGTGCCACTTTTCTTCTTCCCCCTTCCTCGGAGGGGGAGAATCCAGCTGAGAGAGAAGAGCCATCAATGGTTAAGAAAATCATTCTACGTGAGGAACAATCACAGCACCCTAGCAGCTAGGGAAACGAGAAGTACTAAGCACTATTCCTCATGCTTCCCCGTCTGCCTGCTGCATCCACCCGTTGTCTCATCTTAAATTTAAGTTATAAACTCTGCTTGGCAGAGACCATCTCATAGTTATCTGTTTGTATAGTGCCAGGAACAGTGGGGCTCTGGCCTAAAAGCAGTATTGTAATCCATATATTATTACTATTTGTACATGATGTGAAACACAGGATGGAGAAGAGAGGAAAATGGCAGTCATGCACTGGTGAAGATTAACGTTAACTAGAACGTGCAGCGAAAAAGGCCAGCCCTTCAGCAAGGGAGTATTAAAAGCAGGTCAGTATTACAGCTAATTACAACTACTTTTAAACAGTGTTGTTTGTATGATCCATATCCCAAAATGCTTCACAGGATTAAACAGCAGTGAGAAAAATCGAGAGACTTTAGGCATAAGAGGGATAAAGAGATGTTTGCCGATGAGATCTCAGCCGACGAGATCTCAAGGGGTGGGGAGATATAGGAAAACACTGCCAGGAAGCAGGTGGGATCCCAGTATTGGTCCCTTGCTTCAGTATGGTTCACCAACTATTCTCATTGTTACACTAAAGACTGTATGATGCCTACACAAAACCGATGTTCTTCTGCCCTATCAAGTAATTCCTATTTTGGGCCTTGTACTCTAAAAACCTGTCAAATTCATATTCTCACTGCACCAAAAGCTAACTTTGAACTGTACAGACTATAATTGATGCTGAGACATCGGATATTAATATCAGTGTCAATGTGCAACTGTTGGAGCAGTTGTTTTGAGTGCACAACGTGGGTTTGTGGAATTTGCTGAGCATGCAGAACATACGGCACTGTGAATGGACTGGATGTGCGTATATGAGTTCTAAGTATTTATAGAGTGGAGTGGGGTGATGAGGGCTGGAGGGCTCATAAGGAGACATAGAACCTTCAACTGTAGGTTGCTGGTACTGATCCAGATCAGTAGTGTATACAAAATGAGTTGGTGGATCCTGCGGCCTACATCACACAAGCAATGGTCAGAGTTGTCAGCATTGCTGACAGTTACTAGAAAAGAGGCCAAGAATTCAGACGGGTGTGGGGACCGATCTACCTTCTCTCCCATAGCATTAATGTAGAGTCACAGTAATGGAGTAAGGGGGAGGGGGGTTTCATGAATGGCCATTCTCTACTATTTATTGCAGTAGTGCCTACTGCTTTGTGGCTAAACTGAGACCCTTGATCCCAGTACTCTCTGGCCCAGCACCAAATTCTCTTCATACCTCTTATTTAAAGACACAATTCTCAAGGCACATGCAATTTAAGCCTTCTTCTGCTCAGTCACCACTTTATAAAGAGCCATGTTACGGGCATATTGTGTGTCATTAATAAAAACACCCTGTATTGGCTCCCATTGTGCTCCAAATATGAGAGACCAATGCAGTTTGAAATGTTAGATATTAAGGCCTAAAAATCAAGGTCGATAATGGAAATATTAAAATCAATTCCAACTAGAGCGGCATCAAGTGTTGCACCGTAACGTTAATGGATGCAGCTCTCCAAAAGAACACGTGTCTGCCCTTCATGCAGAGATCTTCATCTCACTGGGAGGTGTCTGAGCCTGAACAGCTTGCATTTCACACACAGCTCCTTACTTCACAGCTGCATAATGCAAGGGCGAATATTAAAAGTTGCAAGTGAACAGACTGCACTGTTTGGCAGTGGGGATTAGAATCACAGACCTTTACAAGGGGAAAGAGAGAAAGAAGAGTAGAAATTATATTTCTGTGGAAGGTTAAGCCAACATGTGTAACCTGTGGCTAAAGCACAAATTATCCCAGTCCTGACTCATCACTACTCACTGCCCCATCACAGGGCATTCTTTGGGAGTGATGCTTTCCTCTCCTTCTCTAGGATATTGCACTTCAAGGATACTTTTCATTTGTCACTGTAGTTGACAAGGATGCTGCCAAACATCTGGTCTCAAAACACTTTTGGCTGGTGTCCCTTAACTGCTTGGGGTTGTGACTATTCTTCAAGCAGGATTATTTTCTTAACCATTGATGGCTCTTCTGTCTAATGCTAAACTGGATTCTCCCCCTCTGATGAAGACGGAAGAAGAAAAGGTGTCACCAAGGTGTAGGACTACTGGCATTGACGCATAATTTACTGGGCAATACAACGCCAGGCCCTGCTGGCAAATGCCTCTTGTTACTCATACAGCTTGTAAAGGACAAATGGATACAACTTCCCGAAGAAATCAGAAAGGTTCATTATTGCTCCTCCAGCACCATATATACACTGAACTCTATGGAGAAATAACCACCTTGTCCCTCTGTCTGCAACTCAGGGGATGGGCATAGGCACACCCCTGTGCCCATGTAGTGTCTTCAGTGGAGGCTTGTGAACTGGCAATTGCTGTCCTAATTAAACACAAGGACAGATGGTGGGACCCTGCAGGAGGGCTGAAGGGTTGGGAAGGCAAGGACTACGGAAGGGAGATCATGCCAGACCAAGTATGGCCAATCTTATGCAGTTGTTGAGGTTAACGGTTACATGGTCTTATTCTTTACCTGCTCAATCAGGTTCAGGGGAAGATCCAAGTTTACAGACCTCACAGCACAAGTGCGTTTTGATGAGAGGGTAGAAGATGGTGAACAGGGCCATAAAGGGGCTTCCATAGATATAGGAATGTATGTTAAGTTTACACGAGTTCACCTATCTTGTTATATTTTTTTCTTCAATGTTAAGTGAAGCCCCTATGAAAGATGACCTCTTGAAGCTTCACTTACCCTTTTGCATTCAAACTGTAACTGAAAATTACACTGCATCCAAACTACAAATTACAATTAAGAGATGCAGATGTTTACACCACTTCCAGTATAATTTGGAAGATGCATTTTTGCTAGTACAGTATGTTGTATGATCAGATAGAAGTTTGCTGAAAAATATATTAGGGGACAGAGGTCTCATTGCTCAGCTCTGTGTACCTGCATAATCTTGTAAGTCATTGCTACAGGCACTAAAGCAGAACATTTTTAACAGGTAATGTCTTGGAATCACATTTTGTATCCTGACACTAGGTCACTAACTTCAAGCCATCAGCTCAGAGAGACAGGAATATGAAGTTAAGAAACAAGCAACATTCATTTGCTTCTCACTGGAGATTTAGGGAACATTATGCTACCCCAATTCTACACACCCAAGATACACAGGCTTTTCAGATGCTTTACCTGACAATGGACTTCTCCTCCTCTAATGGGCAGCCAATGGCTCCACATGCAGTCAACAGGGCAGCTGCCAAACAAACGGAATAGGCAGCACTTGAGCCTAGCCCAGCTCCCGTGGGCAGCTCAGACCACACCACTATCTCCACGCTTGGTATCTGTCTGAAACACATTAAAATGCGTTGCATAAAATGCCAATAACATTCTGGAGATCAAAGGCAACAGATGCAAACTAAAATTGCTGTGATCACACCACCAGCCAACTGGTGGCGTCAGCATACACACAAGTATATGACAGACATGGGCCTCCTGAACTTTCAGCTAGCACAGCTGAGCAGCTTTGCAAATCCATTGTGCTAGAAGAAAGCCTAGCTAAATTGGATTTCTCATTTCCATTGGTTTTTATCCCAGTGCTAGGGGTGATTTATTAATAGAACACCATAAATATACCCTTCAGATTTTTGGAAATATATTTTTAAAACATTTTAAGATCCCACATCAGTAACAGTAGGTTTACATTTTACTATTGTAATAAGCTGGCTAGTATCTGTACTGTTGTCCTCTCTTTGATAGAACTGGAACTGCATATGTGTGTGTAATAGGCTCCCTACTGCTAAAAGCGAAGGAGAATTTCCATTATCTAAAGCGGGAAGGACATGTGGTTTTAGAATAGGCTGATCACAGCTCAACTCCTACTATCGCCAAGATGTTCAGAGCAGCTGTGATATGAAGCCCTATGTAGCTAGAGACCTGTATAATGCTTCAATATTTGATTATTTCACTGCCAAAACTGAGCTCAGGATTGTGTTTCTCTTGCTACAGCTGAGATCATTAGTACGTACAGCCGATCACATTTCTAGAGCCCTCTTAATAGTTTGTAGCATTGTCAACTGTTGTGTTAACCACAGTTAGAAGATTAGCACTATTTCTCAGTTATGACTAATCATGTTTTGGGCATATCCTTGCTGATTTCCAACCCACTCAGCACAATTTAGCTATTTCACCTCAGAGTTACTAACAAGATAAGAGCCTAAGAACACAAAGGAAAATTTCCCTCCTTTAGTTTCTTATTTTAGCTTTAGAGATCTGTAATTTCACAAGAAATTAGAATAGAAATTTAACAGGAACCATGCACACCTAGGATACTGCATTCATTTCTGAGGAGGACTATGTTCTTACCCATATTTAGCTGAAATAGACAGGTACAGATAGAGAAATGCAAGGGTACCAAGGCTCTCAGTGGCTGAAAGTCCAGTAGTGATTCCTGCGAACTCTTTCAGTGCATCCATTTGTTCTGGGCTGGGGCATTTAGATTCATCCAAGCCATCTAGGAAAGCAATCAGTGGTGGAATTATTCATTTACAAAGAAAGCTTAAAAAACATTGTTTCAAATTAGAATGAGATATTTACAAGAATGGCATGTCCAGTAACACTAAATAGAATAAAGACAGCTGCCGCTATGCTTCAGCGCACAAACTGATTACTGGGGGCAGGGGGGAGAGAAGAAACCACCAGCTACACTGAAGAACTGCTTCTTTCATGTCACCCACAGCAACATCATAAATGAAACACCAGGAAAGGGCTCTATCTCTGACTCATACAGAGCCAACCACATTAATTTGTGCTAGGTGTGGTACAAGACATACAAGTCTTACAGTATAGGTGGGTGTGGAGGCAGGTGATTACAGATTTCTACAACAAGTGACTGGTACAGGACACTTTGCAAGACAAGACACTGAACTACAGGGACCCTTGGGGTTTGCTGATAAAGCACCTACATGCTAACCTAGAGAGACTTTATTCTGTCCCCTTTTAAATGGGGCATGCTAGAATCATAGTAGTTAAGATGGAACAAGCTCCTGCTGACGCAGATCGCTTGTGTCTCACCCAGCGCATCTGCTGCCTGCGGACTATGAGGACCAGTTAAAACACTGGCTCTGGGAGTGTGAATACACTTAGTAAATCCAGCTACCTGATTTGGTGGGAGAGGGAAGCCTAATCAGTTAAACCCACTGTAGCTTCTAGCCACCTGCTGACCAACAACACTCATTAACACACGAGATGGTTGCCCAGCACATGCAAAGTGCAATAGTCGGTTGGGGTACGATCCGACACACATCAGAAAAGAGGATGAAGCCAGGGGTTTCATGATTTTAAAATATATGGACATGCACTGCCATTGTTCTAACAGCACTTGCCTGAAAATGCCGTTAGCAGTGTCCGGAGCCGGACGGCTTCCCAGTTTAAACTGGTTCCAATATTAGGCAAGCATATCAAGACCTTTCCATTATTACTGGGTCTAATTTGAAGGAACGTTCTCAGGTTCAAGGCCACTGCCAAAGCTGCCTGCACACAAAAAAAAGCGAGACGTGAGTGAGGGGGCAGAGGCACTGTGCAGAACAGCCAGCAAAAGGTTCACGGCTGCCCCTCAACTAAGGGCCTTTCACCGTCCGGCTGCCAGCGGCAGCCCCGCGCTTTACCTTGCCATGCACGACAGCATGCTCCCCGTGGAGAATAGCTTTCCCCGGGGCAGAGAGCGTCAGCGGCTTGGCCAGCATGTCCGCTGCTTCGCCTGCGAAGGGAAAAAGGCAAGAGGCCTCTGAAGGGCTCGTGCTGGGCCGATCCCTCAACGGCCCAAGTCTCCCGATCGCCCTCGGCACCAGGGCCCGGGCCCAGCCCCCCACGCCACAGGCCTCCGGCGCCCCGCCCCCCCCCCCCACGCCCCCAGCGGCGCCCCCCACAGCGGCACCGCGGGGGCGGGGCCTCCGGCCGGGGAGACGCCTGGGCCTCCAGCCCGACGCCCACCAGGGACTGAGGCCCCGGCCGCGGTGGCCCCGCACCCCGGCCCCGCCCCGCACCTGCGCCGGGGCTCGTCTGTCAGCAGCCCGGCTCACCGCCTCACAGGCTCGATTGCTGCCCCGGGAGCTCCCCGATAGGCCCCTCAGCGCCCAATGGGGACCCGGCGCCTGTCCCACGTGACACGGCCGAACCAACCACTGGGCCGCCCCGGGGAGGCGAGATTCCTGTCGGACCAATGGGGAGCGGGCCGGGTCGGGTGACAGCGCCTGCCGCGGCCACGGCGGCCGAGAGGGGTCAGCGGGAGCGGGGATCGGCTAGGCCGGGTCAGAGCTCAGGGCACGGAGGCCGAGGAGGGGTCGCGGCAGCCCCATGGCGGCGGCGCTGGGCCGGGGCTGCCGCCGGCTGGCGCTGTGCAGGCCGCTCCGGGCCTGGCCGCGGGCCCGGGGCCACCGTCAGCAGGGCGAGCCGGCCAGGTGAGCGGGGCGGGGCGCTGCGGGAGCCGGAGAGAGGCCCCGGCTCGCACCCTCCCCGCTCCGGGTGGGGCAGCGCCGAGCTTCTCCCCCCCCCCCCCATTCCTCCCGCCCCTCAGCCCTGGGCCGCCCCTGGGGCAGCGCCGAGCTTCTCCCCCCCCCCCCCATTCCTCCCGCCCCTCAGCCCTGGGCCGCCCCTGGGGCAGCGCCGAGCTTCTCCCCCCCCATTCCTCCCGCCCCTCAGCCCTGGGCCGCCCCTGGGGCAGCGCCGAGTTTCTCCCCCCCCCCCCCATTCCTCCCGCCCCTCAGCCCTGGGCCGCCCCTGGGGCTGCGCCGAGCTTCTCCCCCCCCCCCATTCCTCCTGCCCCTCAGCCCTGGGCCGCCTCTGGGGCAGCGCCGAGCTTCTCCCCCCCCCATTCCTCCCGCCCCTCAGCCCTGGGGCCTGGGCGCCGAGTTTCTCCCCCCCCCCCCCCATTCCTCCTGCCCCTCAGCCCGGCCCCCCCCCCCCCCCTCAGCCCTGGCGCCCCTCGCCCCTGGGGCAGCGCCGAGCTTCTCCCCCCCCCATTCCTCCCGCCCCTCAGCCCTGGGGCTGCGCCGAGTTTCTCCCCCCCCCCCCCATTCCTCCTGCCCCTCAGCCCTGGGCCGCCCCCTGGGGCTGCGCCGAGTTTCTCCCCCCCCGCCCCGGGGCCTGGGCCGAGCTTTCACCCCCCCCCCCGCAGGGCCTGGGCCGCCCCCTGGGGCTGCGCTGAGCTTCTCCCACCCCCACCGTGCCCAGGCTGCTTCCCCCTCCCCAACGCCCCAGCTCTGGGTCGCTCCTGTGTCTGACACAATAGTTCATATGAAAGAAAAACACCACACTTCTTAGGATCCCCCTGCCCTGAACCGGCCCATGGCAGCGTGAACCGGGGTGTCCCCGCTAGCGGTCCAAAGCAGAACTCGCCCTTGGGCCCCAGTTGTCTTCCCGTGCTCTCTGCTACGAGGAAAGGGGCAGTAACCGGGGCAGTGCTTGGAGAGCCTGGCCTTACCAGCAGATACAGCGGTGCGGCTCCCTCTCTATAAATAGAGTCGTCAGCTTGCCAACAACTGCATGTTAAAAAGTCATTTCTGCTAAACTCATAACGGTTCCATTTTGTGTCTAGCCTGGAAATCAAACCCAAGACAACCCGCGTTCCAAAGATTTACACAAAAACAGGAGACAAAGGTAGGGTCTGGGCTGCACTTAAAACCTAGAAGCCACAATATCATCATAGCGGGGTAAAAATATAACAAACAACAAAGGCCATTACATAGCATTTAATATTCCCAAAACATAGTTCTGAATTAATTTTAATGTACTAGCCAATTTAATTCATGTCAGGTTGTAATGAATGCTTGTCTAATACAGCAGATAAGCCCCCGGGTGCTCTGACATGCTATTTATTTAGAATTGTCAGATGACTTTCTAGCAATCACCACAGGGAGAGCTTCTTGGACTGTCTGTAGTCCCTACAGAAATTAAATGGTTGTTTTCCTCTTCCATGTGCCCTCTTCGTGCCCAGCACAATTTGTGTTTAAAAAAAAATCTTGACTCTACACCTTCAGTGAACCTTTGACTGTCCTGTGCGTGCTGGGCTGTTCCTACATTTGCAAGGGGAGCCAGGGGAGGTTATGGTGTCTTAATTAAAGTAAGACACAGGCCCATGGGTTAGTTGGAAAAAGTCTTTGGCACGTTGCTTTGTTGGTCTGTGACACCGTCACCAGACAGGAAGAAACTGATATTCGGTGGGGGTCCATCACTGGTTGTGTCACAGAAGCAATCAGCTGACACCTGTTCAGTGGTAGAGGCCCTGGAGATTTAGGGTCTTATAAATCGAAGGCTGCTGCTACCTGGGTGTCAACCTAGCACAGACTGCAGTGAGTTTTCATATTGTAAAATTTGCAGCTTTGTCTGTTCCAATCCCTTTTCCTCTTGTTGCTATTGATTGTTTTTAAAGGGTTTTCCAGCACATACACTGGGGAGAGGCGATCTAAAGATGATCAGGTCTTTGAAGCTTTGGGAACAACAGATGAATTGAGTTCTGCTATTGGGTAACAAAACTGCGAATTCTATCTTTGACTTTTGTTTACTGGGGTATTGCTAAAGCTCTTATCTGAAGACACAGTGCCAAAAAGTTTGTCGTCTTTACTTACCTTGATAAGCTGATACCTGACAGTCATGAACACTGCAGACATAGAACAAGGCCTACAAGCCCATCCAGTGATGTAAAGATGCAGCAAAGCTTGAGAAGTCTGTTCTGATGGGAGAATGTACACTCTTTATTCTTGGTGTTCTTGGGGTTGTTTTCTTTTTAAAGGGAGAAGGTGGATATATTGTCAGCCTGTGGGAGAAGTTGTAAATACATCCTGAGTCAAATTCACTGGAGAGCTACATTGGCAAAAAAAAGTGTGCCCAACCATAATATTCATTCAGTCTCATCTCTCTCTTTGTTTAAGAGAATTTGCTTCTTGATCAATAAAAACTTGCTAGTGGATCAGCTGTGACCACACTCTGCAGTTCCTGAGTATAGGAAGAAACATACTTCATTTGTACCTCTGATTTATATGGACAAAATTCAGAAAGCAGCAGATGGTCATGCAGATATGCTTCTGAATTGGTGTTTTCTTTTTAGGTGTTGTGAGTCCTACTTTGTTCCATGTTGCAAAGCAATGCTCCTTGTGAACCTGTGCATGTAATATTGAGTGTACAATGAGCCATAAATATATGCTATATGTGCCAAACAAGTCTCCTCTGTTCTAGAGCTAACTCTCTGCTTCATCTTAATCTAGGGTTGCTAGTGAATTAAGCCAGGAAAGTGGCCACACATTTGTCGAACAACTTCACAAAGTGAGTAGTAACTACATGCTCTATGTCTAACATGACCATTAAATCTGTATTATTAGAATGCTGAGTTCTTAAACTCTTGGTTTAAAATTTTAAAGCCACCCAGGAGATTTAGGCTTGTAGGTCCCATTGCATTCAGTGGGAATTTTGCATAAATCCTTTAGGCAGACTTGAAAATCTCTTGGTTATGTGAAGAAACAAGATGCTTCTTTCTATCTGTACTGAAAAGGAAATCAGTTGAACGTGTGTGTGTGTGAGATTGAGATGGTTCATCTTCATTATTATGCACCATCTTGGGCACAGATTAAGCCTTGTTGTTATGCATTCTCAAATTGAAACCAAGAGAACATAAATACTAAGCCAAGCTGCCTGAGATCAAAAGAACTGTGTATCACAGTGGAAAACAGCTCATGCGGAGGGTACATTTGGCATTTACTAATTAGCATCACACTGCAGAAGTGGTCAATGTCACCTGATTAAAGGCTCTGAGGATCCGTACCACACTGCCTCTAGAATGTCTTATTGGAGTGTCAAATGTCATCTCTGCGAGTGTAATTTCATTGTCTATGCTTTGATTGTAATGCATACTTTCATTTTTCTCTACCTATTACCGTCCTTAGGTCCAGTGTATGCTGCAGGACGTTGGTTCCAACATTGCAACTCCTCTCTCCTCGGCCAGGGAGGCTCACTTAAGTAATCCTCAAATCATTTTCCCTACAGAGATAATAGCTCTGTATCTTTAAAAAAATGCCCTTGTTGTAGGTCAAGTTGTTTATTTAGTGATACTACTTGTGCACTTCTGTGAGTGTTTGCTGTAGAAGAGGGAATCTGTGGGAGACAAGTGTAAATTTTTTACACGTCTCTAATGAGTACTTAGTATGACAAATGTAAAATGCAAGATCCATTTTGTGGATGGATTTATTTGTTTCCTCTTTCCCCCTGTAGAACGAACATCATTTAGTGAAAAGCCAGTGCTGGAGCTGGAGCAGTGGATTGATAAATACTCAGACCAACTTCCACCTCTCACTGCTTTCATTTTGCCTGTAGGTATTGGCTCATACTTTTTACTGAACTGAAACTCTTTGCTAGGTATTTGATTGAAGACTTAATCAGAAACCCACTGTTAATTGATATTAAACATTGATTAGTTCTTGAGGTCGGTCCACCACATGCTGTTCTCTTCTAGTGTTTGTACAAATACAGGAAGGCTGTAGGGCTGGAAGAGATTGAGCTAACCCTCCTCTGTCTCCATCTGCAACTGAATTTAAATGTCCAGCAGAAATGTCCCATTCAGATGTATATTATAGCTTCTGTAAGTGTCCAGTAGGGCTTTATTTTGTGTACAATGTCGTATGTTTAAGTTCTGTGCAGCTGGGTGGCTGTATGTGGCTTCTGATACAAGGCACTTATGCGTTTTTAATGTTGTTTCAGTCTGGAGGTAAAAGTAGTTCTGCTCTTCATTTCTCCAGAGCGGTCTGCCGAAGAGCAGAGAGGTGGTAAGTATAAGAATAAGGCTGAGGGAAAAGGCCTTCTGAGCCCTGGTAGTTGCTGCAGCTTCCGAGC